AGGTTACGAATATGATGGATCGATTGACATTTGGTCATTTGGAATAGTCAATTATTATGTGTTGTCAAAAAAATACCTTGAATGCAATGCTCGAACTGATATTAATTTATTGACACGTTCAACAACACCTGCAACTGAAGATAAACTCTCTCCACTATCTGTAATAAAGGTACCATGACCTCTAATAATAAAGTAATAAAAACCAATTTATATCTTCATAAATTATATATTAAGCAAATATGTCTACGGTTATATCATAAACCTCATAAATTGCGTTTCGTCTGTAATAAGTTGTCCGGGTGTAACAATGTGTACATTAACATCTCTCTCCATAATGCAGTTTATGTTATTTATATTTTTTAAATTTTTTAAATTTTTCAAAAACGTGGTGCAACAACCCGACAATAAAATCACCTGATTTTGAAACCTTTCAACTCAGCATAGACATTTTTTTTTTGGTTCATTAGGGTAAGCTCTAGAAAGTTATCGTCTGGCTCTTAGAAAATGTCTCTACACTGAGCTGAAAAGTTTCAAAGTTGGATACTTCTATAAATCTTGCTAAAATCGAAACATATCTAGTGGAAGCGATCCTTCCAACTTTGGTATATCATATGATATATGTCATGTGAAATATTTTAGATGAAGTTCACACAGTTCATATTTCTGTTGGCCAGTATCTGGTTCTGATTTTGAAATTTTCTTCCTTTGTAAGCATCAAGTGGCCAGAACCTAATTATCTAAAATGTTATAGTTCTGGAAATTGATATATAGGGAAACCATATTGCCAATGTATGATTATTTGTAAAACTTGGATATAGGACTTTAATCATACTACCAAGAGAATCAGTTCAACAATAAGGATGTTAGCCAAAATAATTTTTGAAAAAATCAATTTCAGCAAGCAATTTCAGATTTACAATATTCTTTATATCAATATACTTCTGACACTTTGAATATCATATAAATGAATGAAATTATTTATTATTTACAAGATTCTGCTGATCAAAAAAAAATTTTTTTATTTAGTATATGATGTTCATTTTCGGATTGAATTGCTCACTTCTTGAAAATATGTATTCATACTACGTTTCCAACACAAAGGATGAAATCAAAAGTGCTTATCAAGAGCTAAATGAAACAGAGTTTGAACAAGTTGTAATTCAATCAAATCTACACTTTTCTGGTACTTTGATGAAGTAGATGAAAATAGTGATGATGATGATGGATCAGTAGAAGATAATGATAATGATGGTGAGAGTGAAGAGCAATGGGCTGCATCTGAAATAAATCAAAATTTGGTAACATTTGAAGAATTGATAAATGTGGATGATGAAGAACTCCAAAATG